TGTGTGTGTGTGTGTGTGTGTGTGTGTGTGTGTGTGTGTGTGTGTGTGTGTGTTCTCAAGGTTTTACATCACGTGAGGCTGGAGCTGCAGCAGTCTGAGCAGTTCCAGGTTCTGGGCCCTGAAGGCGGAAGCAGCAAAGTGGCTCCAGGAATGACTGCAGTCTTTACCGTTCACTTCACTCCTCAGGAAAACCAGGTGGGAGCAGAAGGATCACATAAACTCAACTTTAATACTTTTTGTCAAAACAACTGGGAAAAAAAATAAAAGTTTTAAAATTCCAAATGTTTCCAGAAATGACACTCAGTCTTTGCAACAAACCTTTTTAAACCAGATTCAGAGTAAAGTCGATGAGGTGAAGTTTTTGGGTGTTATTATTGATGAAAAGCTGACATGGAAACCTCACATAAATCACATAAGAGTAAAAACAGCCAAATCCATTGCAGGACTGTATAAAGCTAGGGACTTATTTAATGATAAAGCTTTGTTTGTTATTTAACGCAATAATTGTACCACAATTGATTTACTGTGTTGAAGTCTGAGGGAAAACATGTAAAACGGTTACTAATCCTATTTTTATTTTACAGAAAAAGGCCTTAAGAATTATCACCAGTAAACATTACTGTCCTCCATTAAATATATTATTTTGTCAGTTGAAATTATTAAAATTTTATGAGTTGGTTGATTATAAAATTTTCCAGGTCACGAAGGCTCATAAAAAATTATTACCTTTAAATATCCAATTAAATTTTGTTGAGAGAGTAAGTTATTATAATCTGAAAAGGTTAGAGATGTTTGTAAAGCTCAAAATTGAAACAAATTTGAAGGATCGATGAACTTCAGACCAAGGAATAAGACTGGAACAATCTGAAAAGTGACTATAAAAATGCTGAGTCAATAAATTTATTTAAGAGAATGATAAAAGTTAGATTGTTGAAGAAATATGGATTTGTATAATGTGTGTTCATAAGAACTGTTGTTCAAGGAGGAGTTGAAGTTTTTATGTTTTATTTGAAGATGATTGTTGTTTGAATTAATTTACTTTTTTTTGAAAAAGGGGCAGATATTAATAAGAATTTTTTTCTTTCTGTTACCTTTCATTTTATTTGTGTTTTGTATTATTTGTTGTATGTAAAGCATTAGTTTTGTTTTTAAAATAAATTAATAAATTAAAAAAAGAAAAAACCCAGATTTAACGGGTCGATCAGCTCCGTCTTCTTGACTTTGGTCTGATCTGTCCGTCACCAGGACCACCGTTACAGACTGGTCTGTGTGACGCAGGCGGAGCGTTTTGAGATCCCGGTCCGTGCCATCGGGCCGCGAGCCATCCTCGACTTCCCAGATGAGGTTCTGGTCCCCGTCTGCGCCGTGAAATGCTCCACGGAGAAAACTCTCCTCGTTCGCAACGTAGGAAACGGCAAAGCTCAGTTCAGGCTGCAAACACAGAGGTGAGCGCCAACAACAAGAGACTGGTTTACTGCTGGGATTTCTTTGTTTTATACTGGTTTTAACGCACTCAGAAGACTTAAAATAAACGTGTCAGAAGTGACATCAGAGTTTAATCAACAGTTAAACAGACACTTTGTTCTACACTCATTCCTGTAAATCAAAGGGTTTGATTTGTTGATTTCAGGCCGTTCTCAGTGACCCCTTCCTCTGGTGACCTGGATGTTGGTGACATCATGCAGGTGACGGTGCTGTTCCAGCCCAGGACTGTTGGAGACCATCAGCAGGACCTGCTTCTGCACTACCACACGGGTCAGATCCTCATCAGAACATTTCTCCACTCACATCCTTACCAGCCCCACACTTTTTACACATTTACCTCTGTTTTTATAAAATGACCCTGCGTCATGCTCTCATCTGGTTTCTGTACACCTCAGGTTTCTGGTGAAACTCTGAGTCATGTAAACAGATTTAGTTGAGCTCAGAACTCTGTGGAACAACCAATATTTCCGATAAAATCCACTGGATCTTGTCAAACAACATCTGGTCCACATGGTGTAATGAAACGTCTCAGGGACACAGATGGAAGCAGAAGTTTTAAAACTCAAAGTTTCTTTCTTTAGAAAAGTCACAGTGATAGGAAAAGAAAAACCGTGTTTATTGTAAGAAATGTTTTATAACTAGATACCGCATCGCTGCAGCATATAAGACCCCCGCATGTACACAAAGCACCACAACACAGAACTCACCAGAACAGATTTTTTGTTTTGGATGGGGGCCCATGGGTGGGCCTGATGGATAGCCCTTCATCAGAGCTAAACAACAACAACAACAACAACAACAACAACAAATAATAATAATAATCTGAAGCTCCTATGTTGGATAGTTTTTGAGTTATAAGCATTTTTGCATGTCCCAGACCAAGGTTATAATAGTTTAGGATTTTTTATTATAGTTTAGTTTTATTTCGTTGTGACTTTTTTCTTTTAATTCAGTTAGTTTTAATTAGTTTTTACAGTGGATTTGCTTTTTTTATTAGTTATTATTGCATTTTTAATGCTTAGTTTTAGTTTAGTTTAGTTTTCATTAGTTCTAGTATTAGTTTTTTTTATAGTATGAATAAACATATTTATCAATGCATCCTCCAGCTTGTGATGTTCCTGTGAGTTAACTAACCAACAGCTAGTCGCTAGTTAAATCTAGAACTGGGCGGTATGACCAAAATTTTATATCACGGTATTTTCAACATATACACCGGTTTCACGGTATATCACGGTATTTTTCTTTTCATCACAGGCCAGCTGAAAATAAAATGTACAATCACTGCTTATTAACTTTTTTCTTTTACTGTACCTCTGTCTGTGTCTCTGTTTCCCTCCTCTAAACGTCTTTTCTCCTCCTGGTTGGAGACAGTAGTCACGCATTTTGGTCCAGTCGTGAAGGAGGAGGGTTAAGAAAAGTTTATTATCGAGTCTACTGTTTTATGTTATTTAATAAAGCTTATAAGCACGACTCACCTTGCTCACCAGTCAATTGCAATTCTACTACAAACTACTTCCCCCGGGCTTTTCACAATAGAACCACGTTAAGTCTCCATCAGCATAACGTCTCCATATTAACTAACCTCGCGTTAAATCTAACCGTGCACATCACTGAAGAGGTGTTTACTACATTCACCGATGGTGAAAACGGGATGTTTTTTTAACGTCAGTCAATATAAGCAGCGGACTCGCCACCCACCGCTGCAACAAACTGCTCAACAATAACATTAGCATGCTAACGCACATAGCGGTGCTGCGAGGAAAAGTGTCCCCTGGGAAACTGTTCACTGGTGGCCGCGACGAAACGGTCTGCACGTTTTCAGGCTATGTAAACCGGTATGTCTGGTATTTAGAAAATTCATATCATGACAAAAATAAAAACCGGTATTTGGTACAAAACGGTATACCGCACAGCACTAGTTAAATCAGTCCATTATAGCAACACCTTCCTAAAATAATTGTGTAACTTAATTTTACCAATAAAAACTTGGTGATTATTTTAGGACGATGACAATACAGGTGCTGGTCATAAAATTAGAATATCATGAAAAGTAGATTTATTTCAGTAATTCCATTTAAAAAGTGAAACTTGTATATTCATACATTACATACAAACTCA